ATCCGGGTTTTCCTCGGCCGTCTATGGAATTGCAGTCACGCTCTCCGTATGGGTTTTTGAAGTGGATGATGACTTTTTCTCTGACGATGGAATCGGGTGAGCATCCGAAACGTCAGGCTAATAAGGCTCTTGTTCCAGCAGTCGTGTCGCCCTCCTCGCGACATCGAAATTTGTTTACGGCACAGATCGGGAAATTCAGTGAAGCTGTCGATTCGGAGTGGTCTCTGAGTGCTAAACCGTCACTGCCAATGGATTTAATGTGTCAAAGAAAAAGAGGCGAACGCTGCCATGCCCGACTGAACGAAAGTACGCTGTCTTGAACTTGAAGTTTTTGAATTTTTCCACAAAAATTTCAGCAATCTCAATTAGAAACATCTGTGATGACCATTTTACACAACAGCCTATGGACGCTATAAAAACAAACATATAGTGCGGACTAAGAAAGTGAAAAACAATAAGATCTGGTATAAGAGTGCAGGCTGAACGGTAAAAACACAGGCACTGGGGAGGTTCGAAAGCAAAAATGATGCGCAAAGGGCTGCCGCGACCTACAGAAGATAGCGTTGACCTCGAGGGCAAAGGTATTTTGCCTATTCTATTCTAGTTCGGACGACAAAATATGTGATGTAGATAGGCGGAGAGAGGGACAGAAGTCCTCCGACATGCGGAGAGAGAACTAGGATGACCATGCACTTTTAATGCGAGACAGAAAGCGGCGTCTGGACTCTATGAATAATGCTGTCGCTAAATACTTGTTCAATAGATTCAATGCATGAAAGTTTTGGAAGATAATCTGAATTTAGGATGTGAACATCGGGGTCCTGGTTAAATAAAGTGTCATGACACCTGATTTGCTTTGCTCCGCAAGCCACTTGCTTTGAGCAAAAGGTGGGATTAATGATTAAATGCGTGGCGACAAAATTAATGCAAAGATTTTGGCAGTTAAAATGAGCAGAAAGCGGAAAATTAGTAAGCAGTCTGATTTTTTCTGCTCGACGCAAATAAACACTTAGGCAGTTGAAAGCGAGCAGAAAAAATTCTACTTTCCTCCTCACACTCTTCTCCATGGGACAAAATTAAGAAGAATCACATTATTGTCTGGGCCCGATGCATAGTTTAAAGCGTTCTAATGTAACTGGGTTTAAAGCTCCGGGCAATAAATCAGATCACTCTATGGGGTTTAGAAATAACGAAGAAAAAATACATGAAAGACAAAAACTCGAAATGGGATATGCTTAGATTCGCAATAAACCCCGACGGAATATTGAGGTGACCATCAATTCTCAGTCAAGGTTGACGATCGTTGCCAATAAGCAATTAAAGTAACCAGCGGAATTCGGCGCCAAGTACGGGGAATCCTTAGCTTCTAGAAATAACCTGCAGTTGAACTTAGAGACGCACAGCGTCCAGTGTCTAACACATTTCACAAAACGAACCAGGTGACTACCCGGAAATTCTTACTTCCAAAGAGCACGACATGCGCCTACATAATCGCACTTTTTTAAAGTTTCTTTCACAGCATTCAAATAATGTACGGCCACACCTTGGATATCGACCATCGACATGATCATCAAAAATGCAAGGTATCAGGGAATACTCAGAGGTGGCTAGATACGTTTGTTCTCTGCATTGCGGATATAAGTCAAGAAATGAGCAAATAAATTACAGCTTTTTACCCTGCGGGACAGGCAACAGAGCGCTGAACTTGGAAAAATCACAAAGTAGAATATGGGACGGAGGATGTAAATTATGATAACGTTTTATAGGCAGTGGTCGAGAACACACTCAAAAGCTTCTTAGGTCTAAATTAAGCGCATGAGTCCGATGGACACGTTTTTTAGCGACCTGTTATCTTGCCCTGGGGCAAGTTATTCAAAGTTTAATTACCCCTTGAATTCAATGTCTGTGAATGTATTCTGATTCTTTGTGGTGGTGGAGAATGCCCTGTGTTACTAACTTGAACAGCTATGCAATATTCGACCGACCAATCAAATGAGTCTTCTGTTTAATGTTTTCGGAGTTTGTACAGAAGCATCCAGAACTGTCCTACTCGGATTTTCATGTAGTTTGTGAATGAGTTAATGGTACTTCACTTATTCGCCGGATTTCATCACCTGTGATTTCTTGGTTTTATCAAAATTGACTGCCTTCTTGTTCTGGACTCTTTCTAAGGTTTAAGCATTACCTCTGTTGCTGCGCCGATTTTAGCTTTCGGGGTTTGTCAATATGTCGGCTACCCCAACAGTTACTTCGAATTTTAAATTTTCTTTGAGCTCAACAACATTTAATATGACTTTCTTAGTTTCGTGAGTTAAGAAAAAAATCTTGATTCATAAAAAGCCGGTAAATTACTTTTACAGCATCAAACATTGACCGCGTTATTCAAGAGTAAAGCGTGGCCAATCAGAAATTCAATCGCGAAACGTGCTCACACCAAAATGGGGCGGCTCCAAAAGCTGGATAACCGAATACAAGTGATGCTCCATAGTGGAGTGGATGAAAACCACAGGACTCTTCTCGTCATTGTGGGTGATAGGGGTCAGGACCAGGTACCAGTTCCATACACTTGTACCTGATGATTAAAGGTTCCCACTTTGTACCAGATACAATCAGCGGTCAGTAAGGCAGGACTTCTTAAAGTTTTGTGGTGCTATAAAAAGGAATTGTCATTTAGCACGTAAGTGTGTAATCTTGAATAATGTTTTTCAGACACCGAAAGAGGAATTTGAAACTTCTGAAGTAAGTCGAGGTCCGCCTGACTTTCGTTATCTGTAGCAAGCGTCGCAAGGCAGGCATTGTTAGCGAAGGAACCGTTTTTGAACAGTTTATCTGCTCGACAGAAATTCGCTGGTGCTATTACCACGAAACACATAAGATTCTTGGCCAAACTTTTCATATGTGCATTCTTCAGGACTTCGAGGCCTTGACGCCAAATACTCTAGCACGAACTATTGAAACAGTGGCCGGCGGAGGGCTTGTTGTATTTCTCCTGAAGTCTATGGATTCCTTGCGGCAGTTGTGCACGATGGCAATGGACGTGCACGCTCGCTATCGCACCGAGGCCCATGTGGATGTTGTTTGTCGATTTAATGAACGATTCCTCCTTTCGCTTGCACACAACCCGAGGTGTATTGTGTTAGATGACAGATGGAATATTTTGCCAATATCTAAGACAGTTATAAACAGCTTGGGAAGCGTGCCCGATTCCACCCATAAGGAATTCATTTCAAAGGAACAAGAAGAACTGTCGAGGTTGAAGGTTAGTTTCTGTTGAGCTCGCCTAGTGTTTGCTTCTAATAAAGTCACCTTATACATCTCTTTGTTGGAGTAGTAACTACTCAGCCAATTTTCCATTACGAATCATCCATTGGGCCCATGCATGAGCATACCAAGACTAGGATCCATTTACACATCCATTCCATTAGTTTGTACCGGATTTCCGGTGCATTTTAATAGGATTTGTTATTTGCTACTCTGTGATGCCATCGTTAATTTGGGTCCATTCACTCTTCTGCTCCACCTTGTCTTTTTCAGCTTCTCCTGACCGAGGACGGTTCCTACTTTGCTTCATTAGTTAACCTCTGCAGAACGTTAGATCAAGCTAAATCTCTTCTGCAGTTCTGCTCAGCTCTTTTGGATGTCACCAGCTCCTTTGAGAATTCAAAAGCCAATCCCGACAAAAAGAGCCGACTCGATGAAAAGCTGAAGTCATTCGACTCCTCGACACAAAATCTCATTCACACCCTTTCGAGTGATGATAACTCGAGACGAGCCAGATCATCCAAGGCTTCGTCCGCGGTTGTAGTGATGACGGCCGCTCGTGGTCGTGGAAAGTCTGCTGCCTTGGGTCTTGGTCTTGCGGCCGCATTCGATGCCGGGCTTCCAAACATGTGTGTCACTGCCCCCAGTCCCGAAAACCTCTTGACTCTAATGCAGTTTGTACTACTAGGCCTCAAGGCCTTAAAATACGAGGAACACGTGGATTTTACGGTATTTCGATCCACTGACGTGGAACACAACAAAGCTGTTGTTCGTATAGAGGTTAGACGAAGAAATTATCGACAGACCCTCCTTTACCTACCTCCATGGGAAGCGACCAGTGCCGTGGGGTCAAGCTGGCAGCCTGATCTGTTTTGCATTGACGAGGCAGCTGCGATTCCTCTTCCATCGGTCCGTCAGATGATCACTGGACCTAAATTGGTGTTCATGGCGTCCACTGTGAATGGCTATGAGGGAACCGGACGTTCTCTCTCCGTAAAACTAATCCAGCAGCTCCGTTCAGAGTGTCAACGGGTGGAGGCATCCTCCGTGTTGCCAAAACAGAAAGGCAAGGATGCAAACATAGGAAAGAGTTTGTCACTAGGTAACTTGGTGACTCTTCTTATGTTTATTGCCTTTTCGATTTTTCGGACAATTTCTTGCTCATCACCACACTGCCTTACTTTCAGTCAACAAATCGCGTCTCCTCTACGAAATTACCCTGACAGAGGCCATACGTTATGCCAACGGTGACCCAGTTGAAACCTGGCTCAACAACCTTCTCTGCTTAAACTGTGGTGATAACCTTTCGACCGACAGCGGTTCCAAGACGACGGGAATTTGTCCGTCGCCGGACCTTTGCCAACTTTACTACGTCAATCGCGACACTCTTTTTGCCTACCATTCTTCCACTGAGATCTTCCTGCAACGATTAATGGCACTGTATGTCTCTTCGCACTATAAAAATTCGCCCAACGACCTGCAGTTGCTTTCGGACGCTCCAGCCCACCACATCTTTTGTCTTCTGGCTCCCTACGACCCTACTTCTGGCCGAGTTCCCGAGATACTCTGCGTCCTACAGGTTTGCCTAGAGGGGCGAATCAACCGGGACATAGTGATGCGCGGCCTTGCGCGTGGTCTTAAGCCATCTGGCGATCTGATCCCCTGGACTATAAGTCAACAGGTGAGTTGAATTTTACACACCTTCGTAATTCGGAGCTTACTGCTGCACCAACTTTTCCTGTTTTGAATAACTAATTTATCTACGTTCCTACGTTGCCGTCGACCTGTCAAGACAATCCTTTGTAAAAGCTGTATATTACCATCTCCAGCGTCAAGCAAATTGTAATCCGTAATTTAATCCCTGTTAAAAATACAACCCTGTCAACTTAAGTGAACTCTGGGTTTCAGTAGTGGAAACAACTAAAACCATAGACGTATTTATAGGTATACATCCGCCTGCAAAAAACCTGTCAGCATTCTCCGAGGGTCTTCAGTATCACGCCCGGAAGTGTTTGACTGGTCGGCTTTCGCCTCGAAACTTTAGCGGTACTTGCTAATGTTCGGTGCAGCTGTCCTCGTGCCTGATTTAGTCGGTGTCACCTTTCGTGAAGTCTCTTGGACCATTTCGTCACAATTTGATTCAGTCAGCTTCCGGCAGTTGCTTTATCTAGCGTCCTTGCTTGGCCAAAATTTAGCGTGAAACAACCGCGGCAACCGAACCTATTTAATGACAATTTACGTTCGAACGTTGCAGTACTTTATGAGGCCCCCTCAATCATCTGCTTTCGGAAGGCGCTGCTGCTACCGGTCTGCGACCGCTTGTCCACCAGACTTAAACGTCTGTTTATTTTGATCGCCACCTGTAACCTCGGCGGTTTGCCAACAACCTGCCTAATGGTGGAAGCCCGATTTGTTTTAATCCCTCCGTAGGTTTTTATTCGGGGCTCTCTTTCCGATTTGAGCATCTTGAGTATAAGAGAATTTTATTCCATGGTTTTTCTAGGCTGCTCCCTGTTCTCCTCATTGGGCTTACCAGAAATGTACAAAACGGCTGACTTGTCTTCACTCTAGAATCCCTTGTCACTAGTCACCTGTACTTGCCTTTCCACGGCTTTCTTAAATCGGTCGGTTAGTTTAGCTGTGACCTGCCCGGCGCGTGCACAGGTGCCGGATATTAGGATGGTGTTGTGCGATGGCTAGTTGCAAAATAAGCGGCCCTCGAATGGTACAAATAAGCATTAATGAACCACGTAATGGCAATACATGCTTTCAGGCGTGACTATGGCAAATTAATTACAATTACAAAAGTCACGAACCTTTCGTACTCGGACCTCACCCGCCGGGAACTTCTCCTGTACGCTCACCCTGCCAAGCTGAATAAACATTTACAG